GCATGAGTTTGTTAATCTCCTTGCTGTCGTAATTTCGTCAAGCCCCGTGTCCTTCCGAAGGATGTCAATATATGTGAGGTGTGGTCTTCCCCTTCGATGATGTCCTTGAAGGGATTCCCAGAAGAGAAGTTGATGACTCAGAAGTTCTTCATGTCTGGCTAAATGACCTGCGAGTCTCATCCTCCGTGCAGCTATCTTATCAGATGCTCTGATGAGGTGTCCATACAACTTGGCGTTAGTCTGCCGCTCTTTCCAAGTCAATGTTAAGTGCCATCCTCAGCATTCTCGTATAACATCCATCAATACGTTTTGCGAGGGTCTGGCTGACAGTCCATGTTTCAGAGCCATATAGAAGGATGGAGTCGACTGTAGCCAGGAACAGTCGTATCTTGAGATCTCTACGCATATCCGATTTCCATACAAGCTTCATCTGGTGACACGCTCCCCATGTCTTAGCTTTCCTCACTTCGAAATCCTTCTCCGAACTCTTCATTCTACTACCCAAATATACAAAGTCATCGACTTTTGCTCTTAGTCGTACCTTTTAATCGCATAATTTTCAGTTTAATTGCTACAACCTGTTGTTTGTTGCTCGATCCATAATTGTCTCAATTACAATAAACCGGTTTGAATAATGTTGTGAAGGAGCTGACCTAGCCTCTAAAAATGTAGGTACGAAGTATGTGCTACTGTAAAACGGACAGGCGTGGCAGAGAAAGCAAAATCATTTAGTTTCTCTTGATCGATTCAAAACACGATTGTTTCAGTTTACTTTTCATCAATGATCAATTGGAAATTTAAGAAAATGCCGTTCAGATCTTATAAGCTTTAAACGTGGCTTGTTAAAATCCAATTATAAAGAAATAGACAGATATAAACCATTTAGGAAGCCATTCTGAAGAAATGATAACGCATACACTTATAACAGATCGCGATTGCTCGAAATTCAAACATTGTTTCTTCCTTTATTATGATACTCTAGCTACACGTATTACCGTTCTCAAAGTAGAGGTTATTAGAGGACCTGTTTCTAATTCTCCTCTAACTCCCCTGCTGGCTTGATCATCCTCTAAACAAGCATGACTGATACAGACAGCTTTAAAACTATTTATAGTTTTAAAGTTGTAAATAGAATTTATAAATTCTCTTCTGCTTGCCACAATCTCTTAAAACATGATAGACAACGGCATCAGAACTGTGGGAATTTATCTTGATGGGCCGAGTTTCAGGAGCACTTGAGACTCTCCTATATTCCTTCACTCTCATTTTTCACCACTGAAACTATGGCTATAAGTATGAGTCATGTCACCTGTGATGTGTATCAAAGTGACCTTATTAAGAAGTACTGCGGAGTATAAGAGATGACAAACTAGTTCAGCTCGACAAGTCGTTTTCCACCGATTCAATTTTGGTAGGGATGGAATTGACACGTCTAAAAGTGTGCTAACACAATGATAAGCCAGCTGCATCCAAAGGAACTCAGTAATTATAGATGCGGTAGAATGCGGTAGAATGCGGTAGAATGCGGCACAATGCGATTAGGGGACAATAATAATACGATAAGCCACATGAAGCACAACAGCTTGTTAAACTTAATGTTACATAATCATATATAACCGTACACAGAACCAGTGCACACTCAACTGCTTTGTCTCTTTCATCTTTCATGCTGCGAGTCCGTGTTACGTTTAGAGTTTGTGACGTTTAAAGGTGAGCATCGATTCGGGCGGTGATTTATTTCCTTGTGGCTTGTACACATGACAATTCGTGGTTAATGAGATAGGTTCTCGGCTGCTCATTTGATGGTCAGTAATTGTCACCAATTTTCGTGAGTAATATGACTGTGTAAAATGTAAAATGTGCAGTATGTAAATATCCAAAGGCACACAGCTAAAACTGTAATTAGTGTACAGTGCATATTATGACTATGAGACGATATAATATTAAGCACCATTAAAAATAATAATGGTTGAAATAACAATTTTTATTAATAACTTCCAATCGGAGCTGAGATACAATAATGATCAGCATTTAAACGAACATTGAAAGGAGATAATATCTTCCAAAGCTCGGACACGCCATTACAATTTTCTTATTTAAATTTAGAGAAAGAATGTTACGAAGGGCATTTATTTCTATAAAATTTTACGGCCAATCCCAGCTCTCCTCATGGCCAAGACGAAGCTCAGTACTCAGTATACTGGGAACTTCTGGGGTTTACAAGTTATCGTTCCTTATAATCAAAATATATAGGAAAATGAAGACCTTATGCTTTATGCCTTTGGCTTAAAGTCTTCCGTAAGGGCTGTGATCACCTTTGGATTGCAGGTTGCATGCCTAGGTTTTTCCACCATGACGAGTCTGACAATGTGCAGGAGACCACGTACTCACGATGGCATCCAATATTAATACTCCTACTAATGCCACTACTACTACTACTACCAATATTGATAATGATTACAGCGCAGGATGAGATATCGTGCAATCGTAGTCGCATACGTGCGATATGATTTAGTAAGCACGCACGTTCACTTCCATCTAATATCTACCCAACACTTACTCTCATGCATTCATTTCTACTGAGTTGTTGAACAGTGCAAGTATGACACGACATTTCCTCGTTGCAGAATATGTTAAATCGGCAGCGGCTGGGAAGAGCGTAATTATCCAATTTTAGTTCGTCGAGAGCAGAGAGAGAGAGAGAGAGAGATCGAGAGAGATCGAGAGAGCATCCCGACAAGCTTGTTAATGAATTACTATTAGTGTGCCATTGATCGCTAACCACACCTGATTAATTTCATTCCGTCTCATGAATATCAGTTTGGCTTTTTAGTTACTGGTAGTGCAATGTATATGTATCGTTTAAGTCAGGAGGACTAGCAATTAGCATGATAGTAAAACTGTGAATGAAATTGCATAATTTGATCCAATTATTAAAGCTTGCCTCTCGATGAGCAAATTTACAATTCCACGAATTCCTGGTTGTTGTACTTTTCTTGTATATTTGTATATTTTAACTGTCTACCACAGTTTCGGTTGGGTTATTCATTATTCATGTACTAAATTTTGTTTTGCGGAGGATCGAGCAGTCAATGTCTCACTCATTTTTAAGCTTGAGATATATGAATGTTACCCAGACCAACTTTCAATCAACCAAAGATGATGCAACACAGTAACCGTGACACCCAACCAAATACCCTAGATCAATTTCCTGTGAGAAAAGTGCGACAGATAGCACGGTGTACAATTAGTTCACATCAAGATTATAATCACACTTGGCTCAGCACGTGCTACTTGTCTAGGCTTCACGACAAAGGAGAATAATCCCGTCGAGAACTGTCACGAGTACTAGTAGAGTATAATTGGATTGAGTTTTGCGAGGGTTGGTCTATCCACTGTGTTGCTTTATTCTTATTTTAGCAGGTTAGGGTGTTACTACTATGTTGCATTTTTTAGTAATTTTGGTAACTGTGGGAATTAGGAGGAGCATCAATGCAGACTGCAGAGAAATTGATGCAATAGACAAAATGACCGGTAGGCAGTAACCACCAAAAGGTCGATATTCCATCAATGATAAAGTATAAAACTAATGTTTGATGTTTGTGATATAATATGTACCATGAAGCAGTCACAATAGGTATCATTCTAGAATGAAAGACGAGCTCATCCGCTTTAATTTCAATCGCTGTGATCGTTTAATTGTTTTCAATGTCTATTCAGTCGATGATTTATTGACTGTCGGACTTTAGACTTTGTTCACTGAAGTGATTTTGAAAATAGTGCACAAAGAATCCTTTGTTTCCGTTACAAAGAATCCTTTGTTTCCGTTACAAAGAATGTCCAATTTGATTGTATTTGTATCAAGGTCAGGTAACTAGTATGGCTGTGCGGTTCGTGCTTTATTTTCAATGTACATGGGGTTTTATTTTCGCACCTGAACGCTGAATGGCAACATGAAACGGTGACATGAATGGTAAAATAAGTGGTAATACGTGTATCAGTATGGTGTAACATTCTTTCGCCGAATTACCGTCCACAATTTCCACCTTTCTCAGCAGACTAATTTATCACTTTAAACGTAATCTAATGTGTAAACGAGAGAACAAAGAGTATAATTTTCTTATGTGATGGTATTGCAGTTCGTAGCTGGAATGTAATACTGGCATGATTGATTCCGCTAAATCTTTGTTCTATTCGAAAATGCATTCAGTCCTTAGCAACTGTTAGTGTTACATATGATTAATTTTTGTTAACGTATTTATAATTAGGCCGAACGTCGGTTGAAAGGAGATCGAAGGATCATTCCACTCAAAATTCGTCAATTCTCCTCTAAGACGTGTAAGTTCACCATGCGGTTACCAATGGGGTTGTTCACATATTACGTAATCATTTGTTTGGAACATTTTTACCCCCCCCCCTCCATAATCAGTTTTACACATAGGTCATAGCTATTGTGTCAAAATTACACTTGCGTAATCATTCGGGACCCCCCTCAGCTGATTATGTAATATGTGAACGACCACATAATGCCATGAAATGACAGTACAACCTCTTTAGAACGTGTATTGATCAAATGAATTATCTGATAATCAGTATCATTATGTTTCTTTTAATCTTATACGATATCAAGATTTTACACACATCTTGAACTAGATTATATGAATAAACTTCGTGCAAAATTTCAGCTCGATACCACAAGAAATGATTAACTTATAGTCTCTCCATGAAACAAATTTTGCTTTTCCGAAAAATGCACTTTGACCAGGAAATGCTCGATTACAAAAATGGGAGTCCTCAAAAAATTATTTGTTGGTGTGGAAACGGTGCGCTATGCCCCCATTAGATAATTGCAGTATCTGTATACGCTGCTAGTAACACTATCCTGCCTTTATGTTAGTATAATAGTTATGTCACATGTTTTGCGCTAACTCTTGTTAGTAACTGGTATTTTTGAAAGCTAGCAATCTTCTTCTTAGATTACGAAGTTTAATATCTACTTTTTGGTAGAACAATGGCTGGAGGAAGCGATCATATCGTGGAATACATTGAAAAATGTGGTGACTTCAAAACGTTCACCCTAGAAGCTTACAGTTGTGTCCAGAATTACGTATGCAATGAAACTGACATTAAGACTACAGTCTCTGCTACAGAGGGCTTTGATCCAGGTAATAATTAAAATAGCACCCAACAAATTTATATAGGGGAGGGGAAAAATCTATAGATCGATTATCAAATATCGATAAAGTATCAGGTAAACTTTTACCGGTGACGCCTGCCTCCCCAATCCACCGAATATCCGTCATAGTAAGTAACAACGAAGCCTGAAGTCCTCAGGTAAGTAAACTATTGACGGTGTTCCCCCCAGTTAAGATGCTGCCATTTGAAGACTTCTGTGGGCTGAGCGAGTGTTATAAGAGCCATGTTACCGACAGCAGCCCGTTAACCGACATTGAGCAGCCGTGTTTTAGGTATAAAAAGAATGTTTAGTTTCTGTTCATGTTCTACGGTCATGTGATTTAAGCATGTGTAGTGGAAAATCAGATTATGAAATTATATTTAACAGTTTTGTTTGATTACAGAATACAGATTATAATTAAATGCTGTGAAATATGAACAAATGAATAATGGTGTTTCCTTTTGATTTTGAAATAAATCAATGAATCCACTAAAACAGCTGACTAACTTCAAATTGCAGGTACAGGTGTATAGAAGGCACCCCGCTGTATGTACAGTATAGTTGGTGCGGGTACGACGAGGCAAGCCCGCAGAAACTTATCTTACCTCTGGTTCTAATTGGACTGCTTTGCGCGATCATATTTTACATGGCTTTCGCTAGCTGCCGAGAGAGGTAGATGTCGTCTTTAATATTGCATATTGTTCTATCAACATCAAGAAAAAGTTCAATTTAAATATCTGAACTATCAACTGAAGATACTACTAGTAAGATCTAGATGATTTCGATATATAACAAATTACAAGCCATGTTTACAGTTTACACACAGACTATAGTGTTGACTATAAAATGTTCAATATTTTATTCCCCTCAGGTCTCAACGAATCAAGTACATAAAATCTCAGAACAGCTATGGCAAGCTGAAGGATGACCAAGCGAATAACAAACACTAAAGGAACTCACATTGCATATCATTTTGGTTTTGACTCCTCTTGAGTGATTCGTTCTTGAGAAGAAAATCACCAAATCTTGATGATCGCAAAAATTTTGTTAGAGATGGGATGTGAACAGTCAATAGATCTGGATATTGGTAGGGACGTGAACTTTATTTGTTTTGTCACGTGGTAGTGATTATGGGTTTTGATCGGTTAATGCTGAAAGCTGATTGGTCGATCGCTGTCATGTGTCAGAATCATGTGGTTTACCTTCTCACAAGTATCCAGATCCTTAAGATTAATCGACTGATAGAATTGGCCCCAATTACTCAATTACAATTAACCATATTTAAATATCTGTTAGATTATGTAGAACTGCTATATTAAAAGCCAAAAAAATTAAGCTTAGAATTTTAAACGTGACCTGAATGAATATGAATGTTGACATCTGCATCTTGACTAAGATTTGAGTATATAGAAAAATAGCATTTTTCTTGGTAATCATAAGTAATGAAAAACCAGTAGGCAACGACAATGACTTATCCATAATTGTGCTCCGTTTGAATTCCTAAAGAAAAAGAGTATAATTGATAATGCTGTGCAACAAATCATATTGATTTATACTTTGAAAGGGTCCTGATCGTATTATCGGATTTAGAAGCTCTTGCTTGACGATGTTGATTCCTAACAGCTCGGCTACACGTTTAGCCTTGAAGATGTACAATTGATTATTCTCTAGCCATTATGATTATGCCTATTAATAGGCTGCGTTTATTGGCTAAAATAGTGTCCAGTGTAAAATTAGGAAGTAATGGGAAATGAACGCCAGGAATAGAAGATCAAAAATAAAATAGCTCCTGGCGTCTCTTGCACATCAGTATTGTATTTCAGATAGTTAAACCGCGATTCTTTGTATTGAACTTGAAGTATTGAGTTTCTGAAGCATTTTCGAAGTACGTACGTCGTACATATGTCACGTGATATTTTGATTTGCTTGTTAGCTGGCCATGATTTTTAAAATTATGGTCTGTTATTGCTTCCCTTTTATAACATAAAGCTATTTTTCTCTCTTTATTTTCTTGCTCCAAATTCATGATTAGAAACTTAGTTGAAACTTAAACTTGAATTGTAATTTGTAACTGGGTAACAAGAGCAACACAATTATATCGCTGTAGTGATTAATTCGAAATAAATGTACAAACGACTTTGAAGTATAGAATAATAATTTCAATAAAAATCTCCATTGCTGCAGAATTTCAAAATATTTACGAAATGTTGAAAAATGTATGTCCTTTGTTGAATCCTGTTCCATCTGCTGTTATTTTTGAACTATGTTCGGCGAACTAAAAGATCTGCAGGACAAAATTGAATCCACTGAGTGCAAAATACACTGACCGAAATTGAAGTCTGAGATTGTCTGAAGGTGTTCCGTTTAAGTCACGTGGTTGATCTGGTCACGTGGTCACGTGGTTTACCTGGTCTCTGACGTTTGTTTTACAGTATTTGATGAACAGCGCCGTGTTCAGCCGACTCATACCGCTGTGTTTACTGATGTCCTCAGCTTTGCTGAAAAGGAATGCTGGTTGAAGTGGGGATATGACATTGGGCTAAAACAGCAAAATGTTTGTATAATAATAATTTTTCAGTTCAGTATTACACTAATTGCATATGTTGCTCTTTTCTTACTCTCTTATCTTAGTGCTTATCTCTGTTGATTGTAACGTGCAGCTACAGTGGTTTGTGTATCACCGTGTTACACGACCATGACCATCCCGCCCAGCGAGTATGGTGAAAAGGAGATCAACATGTTAAGGGGTGACTCAGTTGAACTTCTCAGCAAGGCTATGTACGAGATGGAGATCACAGCAATGAAGCAACTATCCCCTTCGTGCGTGAAGAAGATGAACAAGAACACTGCGTGTGACTTGTTGCACGATGCATTAAGATATTTGGAGGAGTTCACTGGTGTCGTATCCACGGACTACAAGATGGCCTCAAACTCAGTTAAACATCTTATGTTCGAGACACAGGAGACCATCATTAAGCTGCAGTCAGAACTACTAGCCTGCAAAAATAAACAGTTGGAATCGTTGCAGACGTCAGTTAAATCGTCAGTCGGAGAGTCTGTCAAGGCTGAATTCCAATCCTTCAGCTCGGTATTACAGGCGAATTGTCCAGAATCTCAGAAGCCTGTCAGTTCTGAAATGATCAAGAAAGCTGTGAAAACTGTGGTACAGGAGGAAGACCGAAACAAAAATCTGATGATTTTTGGTTTATCGGAGCAGGACAATGAGGAGCTCAGCACCGTGGTCAGTGAAGTGTTCTCAGCAATCGGAGAGAAACCCAGAATCGAAGCTAGTAGAGTCGGAAAGCTCAAACCTGGCAAGGCTGTGAGACCAGTTAAAGTGACTGCGGCAAGTGCAACAATTGTTAATCAGATTCTCGCTAAATCGAGAAACCTGCGAGCAACGGAAAAGTTTAAAACTGTTTTTATCAGCCCAGATCGATCTCCAGAACAGAGAGCCAAGCAAAGAGAACTCGTCAGGGACATGAAAAAACTGGTAACTGAGCAGCCTGATAAGCTACACTTTATCAGAAACGGTGCTATAAAGAGTACTGATAAGACTAATAAGACTGCAGAATGAGCTTGTGTGTTTTTAATAATTGATTATTATTAGTGTATTCAAGTTTTTGTTGTGTGGAGGATGTTTTAACTCACTCTTGTGTGCCCAGTCTTGCACTGTCAGTATTTCTCGACACTTTGAGCACACAAAACTGTCAGTTTTCGCGACAATTGTCAGATTTCGTTTTCAGTTCTGTCAATTTCAAGCGCTACTAGCTCTACTACTAGTAGTCTACTTCAGCTCACATTAAAGGGAGTTTTCGTCGTGCGTGTAGCGCCCTTCAAGTTTAACTTGGACGGATAGGATTTATAAAACTTCTGATTATAATATTTATACTATATTGTATTTTGTATCTATGTATTTTAGTAAATGGTCATTAGAACCACCGGCACCGTCCGGGCCCAAACAAACAAACAATAGCAAAATATTTACAAAAGTCTTGCGAGGATGTACTTTTTGGATAACTTTTTATTCATTTGTCTAAACTTCATTCTGTAAAATGTTATTGGTAGTTCTAAGGTTTAATGATGACTTTTCAAGATTTTACGTTACCATAACCACCATAGCAACCGCAATTAGTCCCCTAATAACAACCGAGGTAAATTTGTATGATTTACCTTACAAATCCTTCAGGACTTCAGGTACTGTTTCACAATTTCGACTTTATATCATCGTCAATTTACTTGTTAGATTTTGTATTTAAAAGCTGTGTTTATAAAGAAGCAATGTCACTATGTCAGTCATATCCTCTTACAACAATGCTTCATTTGGTGGTTTACATTTTGGTGGTTTCATTTGGTGGTTTACATTTTTTTTTCAAACTCTTCGATGCCCTTATACTTCCTGTCGTCTCATACGGTAGTCAGGTGTGGCTCCCCTATACCAACATTCTCAGCAACATCTGCCAGAAGAAAACACAGTCTGACAAAGACACACTCAGTCAATTAGCGAATGACAGCATCGAGCGCCTGCATCTCTCGCTGCTAAAATGGACGACTGGGGTCAACAAGAGAACTTCAAATATCCCGATATGGGGAGACACAGGAAGATATCCCCTTGGAATACAACTGAGTAAGCTCTTTCTTGACTTCCACAACAGGCTCGTCCTCCTTGACAGAAAAAACTCACCACAGATTGTTCGCCATGCTTTTGTAGAGCAAAGAAACCTAGAGCTGACCTGGTTCCGAACATCGAGAGCGCTGACCGACGCATTTGACCCAGGAGCAATTAAACGAACAATTGTCTCGAAGAATGTTCCCATGCCGAACAGCCAACTCGTTCGGAGTAGAATGAGAAATTGGTTCCAAGAAAAGTGGGAAAAAGCTCGACTTGAAAACAAAAAGCTTACATTCTACAACGAAGTCAAAAGCAGCTTTGGATTAGAACCATTATACCTGTCTCTACCCAATCACAAGAAAACCCGATGTACCACATGGCTGAGGACAAGCTCCCACAAACTTAATATCGAGACGGGGCGATATGGCTGGAAAAACTCAAGCATCTTCTACAGAGCTTGCCACTTCTGCTGCAGCTCAGACAGAATCACCATAGACCTCATGAACGAGCTCCCGTTTAGTGACATCATCCTGTCTACAAGGAGATCAGACAAAGAAACAGCACAGACCTTCACAACATACTCACAAATAGTCAATTCAGTAAATTATTTAATGAGGATTACATTTTGGAGACCAGAAATTTTGTTTATAATCTATTTCGTGAAAGATTTCCTAAAAGTAAGCTATGACTTAGTATCCTTATTTCGTGCACACTTTGAAACCATTTAATTATTTTTTAAAGATATTATGTTTTTTTGTTGTTTGGTTGTGTAACTTTCATTTAACTGATTGGGATCTGACACATGTAATTTTGTAATGATCTTTCTAATTTCTAATTTCTAATTTTCTAATTTCTAATTTCTAATTTCTAATTTCTAATTTCTAATTTCTAATTTCTAATTTCATTTTGTTATTTTGAGTGATAAATTCTTTTGTGATGGTTGCTGACAAGGATCGAAGTAATCCTATGCAGAAGCCAGGGAATATCAATAAACTGAAAGTTCGTTCAATTCAGAAAAATGGATTAAAAGTTATCCAAAAAGAACATCCTCGCAAGACTTTTGAAACACCCTGTGTATAACTATAAGTATAAAGGATAAACGATACATTTTTATCATGTCTTGAGAATAATAGCTTTCGGGTGTTGTAAAGTAGTATTGTTAGGTTCTCGGATAAATTAACTTTGTTTACGGCGGAATATGTGATATTAGGAGGGTTGCGTTTAAAGTATTTAGGAGCACTTTATTTGTGAAATGTTTGGTAGTAAAGGGACCGTTACACATTTCCGGGTAGTGCGACATTTCGTGTAATAGTTTAAACTGTTTAACAGTTGGTTTAGAATTTAGAAAGTTTTGGTTTGTATTTCATTTTACACGGGTTGACTGTATTTGGTTGACTGGCAAACCTGCTGTCAGACATACTGCCATATTGTAGTTGGCCGCGCTTGTGCACCTGACTTACAGCTAGGCCTGTGGTTGGTTCTCGCGACCACAGGATGACTGTCAGTGGAGTGCTCAGCGTCCTGACAGTGTCTAGACGCTGGTGCAGGCTGGCTGCGTTAGGCCGACACGCGTTGTGGCGTGACGTAAGTTTTGGGAGCATACCCGGAGAGCCGGATGTGGAGAGCTCACTTCTTAGTTGCCCCTTAATCATTTTAAGGGATTCTAATTGACGATAGCCAGTCTGACTGAGCACTATCTTTTGTGATTAGACACGTCGAGTGATCTATATTCACGTCAATTGTTTGGAGCGAACACTTGGAAGTTTTATCTGTTGAAGTTCACTTTGTATTGCTTTTCCATTTAATTAATTATCCATTTTAATATACTCGTTTCATTTATACCTTACGGTACGCCCTGCCGTTCGTGCTTCGTGACTAGAGCTTGACTAGCATACACTAAACACTAAGAAACTCCGTTTTCTATATCTGGAGGCCACTTTTAGTGTTGCTATTTTTGCTCGTGATCCTTCTAGTATCACCTATATTCAGTATAGTTTCGTTTAAGATCCTAACGTTTCTCATTTGATAAGCTAAGTTCGGTGTACATCGCAGTGCAGAAGAATTACGTGGAGATTGTTCGAGATCTTTAGTACTTCCTACTAGACTTGGTAAGTGTTGCTACACATTTTGTGGTACCTGTATATTCCAGTTGAGTGCGATCGTTTTGACGAGCACCTAGTTTACAGCCGCTTGTAGACTTCAGTACGTTATTACCTAGATTGTCAGTGAGATTTGCGTAGTTTTAGCAACCTTACTTTTCGTACATCTACTCAGGAGTGATAGACGTAGAAGTTACAGTTCCAGTAAAGCAAAGTAAAGTCTTGACCAGAAGATTTTCCAGCAACGTGAAGGGTACGCCTGTTCCAGTACTTATCTACTCTATATGTAAGTGTACTTTTACATTTAGATTCACTTTTTAGCATGTGTGATAGTTATACAG